GGCTCCATGGTGTCCCCTGGCTCAGGAGGTGTCCCCGTGCTGTCCCCGCGGTGTCCCCACGGTGTCCTCAGGATGTCCCCGCGGTGTCCCCGTGCTGTCCCCGCGGTGTCCCCATGCTGTCCCCGCTGTCCCCCTCAGCGCTGCCGCTGCAGGAACGGCCGCCGGGACCGTGACGGTGCTGGCCCAGCTCGCGGTGCTGGCCCCAACTGCCCTGGTGGCCCTGGTGGCCCACCTGTCCGTGTCACTGGCCCTGCTGGCTCTCCTGGCCATGGTGGCCCACCTCGCTGTGGCGCTGGCCCTGCTGGCCGTGGTGGCCCTCCTGTCCCTGCAGCCCGTGCGTTCTGCGGTGCTGCTGCTGTCCCCTCTGCTGTCCCCTCTGCTGTCCCCTCTGCTGTCCCCCCTGTTGCCCGTGCGTGCCGCGGTGCCGCTGCAGGTGTCCCTGTCCCTGTCCCTCCTGTCCCTGCTGTCCCTGCAGGTGTCCCCGCTGTCCCTGTCCCTGTCCCCGGTCCCGGTGCGCGCCGCGGTGCCGCTGCAGGTGCAGGTGTCCCTGCAGGTGTCCCTGTCCCTGTCCCTGTCCCTGCTGTCCCTCCTGTCCCCGCTGTCCCCTCTCCTGTCCGTGCGTGCCGCGGTGCCGCTGCAGGTGTCCCTGTCCCTGTCCCTCCTGTCCCTCCTGTCCCTGCAGGTGTCCCTGTCCCTGCAGGTGTCCCTGTCCCTCCTGTCCCTGCAGGTGTCCCTGTCCCTGCAGGTGTCCCTGCTGTCCCCCCTGTCCCTCCTGTCCCTCCTGTCCCTGCAGGTGTCCCTGTCCCTGCAGGTGTCCCTGCTGTCCCCCCTGTCCCCGCTGTCCCTCCTGTCCCCGCTGTCCCCTCTGCTGTCCGTGCGTGCCGCGGTGCCGCTGCAGGTGCGAGCGCCGCTTGAACGCCTTGCCGCAGGCGCGGCAGCGGTGCGGTTTGAGCGCCGAGTGTGCGATGCGGTGGCGCCGCAGGTAGGACAGGTAGGCGAAGCCCCGCCCACAATCGGGGCACGCGAACCGGGCGGGGCCGGGGGCGGGGCCCGCGCTGGCCGCGCCCCCCTGGGCCAGCAGCACGGTGTAGGGCAGGCCCTGGCTGTCAATCAACAGGAAAGTCCCGCCCCCCGGGCCGCTTTTGGGCAAAGGCAGCGAGTGAGGAAAAAATCCCAAAAAAAAGGGGAAAAAAAGGAAAAAAAAGGAAATAAAAAGAAAAAGAAAAGGGAAAAAAGGCAAAAAAAAAAAGGGGAGGAACGGGAAAAAAGGGGGAAAATGAGGGGAAAAGGAGGAAAAAGGCAAAAAAAAAGGGAAAAAAGGGAAAAAGGCAAAAAAAAAAAAGGGAAAAAAAGGGGAGGGGGCTCCGGGCCCGGTGGTTTTGGGTTGGGGTCCGCGGGGTTTGGGGGGAGCCCCGAATTTGGGGTCTGGGGGGGCTCAGCTCTGTCCCAAAGACCCCAAAATCCCGATTTCCCCCGATTTCCCCCCATTTCCTTTGGGGTTTTTCCCATTTTTCATTTTTTTCCCCATTTTTTCCCATTTCCCGCATTTTTTTTCCCCGTTTTCCAGCGGTTTATTCCCATTTTTTCTCCTTTTCCCCCCATTTTTAATGATTTTCCGTGTTTTTTCCCATTTTCCCATTTATGTCCCACTTAATTTGTGTTTTTCCCCAATTTTTTTTTGCTTTTCCCCCTTTTTGCCCGGTTTTATCCCATTTAATTTGGGGTTTTTCCCGCGGTTTTTGGGGGTTTTTTTCCCAATTTTTCCCATTTTTATCCCATTTAACTCGCTTTTCCCCATTTTCTTAAGGTTTTTTTCCCATTTTCCCGGTTTTT